GGAGGAGGAGACCGCAGGAGCTCATGCGACCAGGAACCGGAATCGTGAGGAGGAGGAGGAGGAGGAGAGGAGGAGGAGGAGGAGAAGGAGGAGGAGGAGGAGGAGGAGGAGGGGAGGGAGGAGGAGGAGGAGGAGGACGAGGAGGGGAGGAGAAGTGAGGAGGAGGACGAGGAGGAGGAGGAGGAGGATGAGGACAAGTGCAACCCCAAGACGCATCATCGGAGCCCCCTTCTCTCCTTAGGTGCCTACAGGAGTTCATGTCCATAGCGGAAAATGGCCCATTAGAAGACAACCGCTTGATAATCCTCAATCGTACTAGAGCTCCATTTCTGGAGCATCAAAACCGTGGATCTACGGAATTGTTAAGTCCAGAATCTCCTAAAGCGTGCCAGGACAGCAGTCCTAGGAGCTCAGCAGCGCGAATCAATGTAACTGTTCCGTCTTGGCAGTCGCAAATCGTGCCAGAATAGTCCTGGGACCTTAGCCATGCGAATCCTTTAAGTTGCCGCAGACTTGAAAACGAATGAGCGCGGCGCCAAGGCGAGAGCCACATAAAAAAGGAGCCGCCTTCGATGTTTAAATATGTTTGCAAAGTTTTGGAACGAATGTGCGCGGCGCTGAGGCGAGAGTCTCATTTTGGAAAGCAATGGCCTTCCATCCGTGAAGCTGTAGCGAACTTTCAAGACGAACGTGCATGGCGCTAAGGCGAGAGCCTCATTTCGAAGACGACCCGCCCTCCATCGGTGAAACGGTTGCGAACTTTTAAAACGAATCTGTGTGGCGCTGGGGCGAGCTCGGCCCGTGCTACCGACACATCTGGGGGTGAGACAGGGAGGTTTTTTTCATCGCTTCGCTCATTCCGCCGGCCCTTGTCGCATCCCCTTGATGTGTGGTGGTTGGTGCGTGCCCAGGGGGACCGGTAGGTCAGGCACGAACTTCGTAAAGAGATCGGTGGAGATGCGGGTGCCAAGAGCGCTCGAAGAGGCTTCTGCATCTCCGAAGAGCGCCAGTGGATCGTTCCAGATGGCGCCAAGATGGCCCAAGAGGGCTCCAGCAGAGGCTCGAGACTCGTTCAAACAGTCCACAGGGGTGCAAAAGTTCTCAGGAGGCCTTGCCTGGGCCTTTTGGGGACCACATGGGGGCCTCTCGGGTGCCTTTTGGGGGCCCTCCTGAGGTTTCATGGGGGCCTCTTGGGGGTTTCTTGGGGCCTCCTGAGGGCGTCTTGGGGCCGAAGGCTCGCAATGTCCGTGCGGATGCCCCCTCTGGACCCCCTCTTGGGGCAGTCCTGTGGCTCTCTTGGGCCGTCTTGGGGGCTTCTGGGGCCGTCATGGGGCTCTCTTGGGCCCTCTTGGAGCCCTTGGGGGCCTCTTGGGCCGTCTTGGGGCGATTTAGGGGGCCTCTTGGGCCGTCCTTGACGTTGTCAAAATCGAAGAGGCGAACCTGCAAAGCATGTACATTGCAAAAGGGGAATGGGGGGAATGGGGGGATTTATGCTTCTTGGGGCTCTTTTGGGAAGCTTCTTGGAGCGTCTTCGAGGCCTCTTGGGCCGTCTGGAGGCGATCTGGGATATCTTGGAGCGGTCTTTGGGCGTCTCGGAGCCATTTCGGACCTTCTTGGGCCCTCCTGGGGTGATCCTCCGGGAGCCCCCAGGGCCGCGCCCAGGAGCCCCCAGAGCCGCGCCCGGGAGTTCCAGCATCCTTGAGACCACCTTGCCGGGTGTCGCCCGATGTACTTTTTCGTCCGAGGATCCCTAGGGGCGGCCCCCCTACGAAATAGAATACGCTAAGCCTGTTATCGGAGACCTTAGCACGCCTCTGGCCCGTTGGGCCAGCGAATTCAAATTCAAAGGGACGGAGGAGGAGGAGGCTCAGGAGGAGGAGGAGGAGGAGGAGGAGGAGCAGGATGAGGACGACTTGGGGGAGGAGGAGGAGGAGGAGGAGGAGGCGAGCCAATGATGACGACTTGGGGGAGGAGGAGGAGGAGGAGGACGATGAGGAGGAGGAGGACGTGGACGAGGACGAGGAGGAGAAGGAGGAGGAGGAGGAGGAGTCTGAGGAGGAAGAGGAGGAGGAAGAGGATGATGAGGAGGAGGAGGAGAAGAGGAGGAGGAGGAGGGGAGGAGGATGAGGACGATGATGATGATGATGATGGATGGATGATGATGATGATGATGATGATGATGATGATGATGATGCTGATGCTGATGATGATGTGATGATGCTGTGCTGATGATGCTGATGCTGATGCTGATGATGCTGATTATGATGATGATGATGATGATGATGATGATGATGATGATGATGATGATGATGATGATGATGATGATGAGGAGGAGGAGGAGGAGGAGGAGGAGGAGGAGGAGGAGGAGGAGGAGGAGGAGGAGGAGGAGCGGAGAGGAGGAGGAGGAGGCGGAGGGGGAGGAGGGAGGAGGAGGAGGAGGAGAGGAGGAGGTAGGAGGAGGAGGAGGAGGAGGAGGAGGAGGAGGAGGAGGAGGAGGAGGAGGAGGAGGAGGAGGAGGAGGAGGAGAGGAGGAGGAGGAGGAGGAGGAGGAGGAGGAGGAGGAGGAGGAGGAGGAGGAGGAGGAGGAGGAGGAGGAGGAGGAGGAGGAGGAGGAGGAGGAGGAGGAGGGGAGGAGAAGGAGGAGGAGGAGGAGGAGGAGGAGGAGGAGGAGGAGGAGGAGAAGAAGAGAAGAAGAAGAGATTAATAAGAAGAAGAAGAAGAAGAAGAAGAAGAATAATAATAAGAATAAGAAGAATAATAATAATAAGAAGAGGAGGAGGAGGAGGAGGAGGAGGAGGAGGACGAAGAGGAGGAGGAGGAGAGTGAGGAGGAGGAGGAGGAGAAGGAGGAGGAGGAGGAGGAGGAGGAGGTGGAGGAGGAGGAGAGGAGGATCAGGAGGATCGGGTAATGTTTTGGGGCGCTTTCGTTGGTTCTCGGGGGGTTCCTGCCCTGGGATGCTCTTCAGCAGCTGCGCCTCGCCGAGAGCGTTCTGTGGGTGCCCAAATCGGCCCGGATGCGTGAGCTGATTCGCAGAGCCCCCTCTGCCATCGTCCCCCCTTGCCGTCCGACCCGGCCCTCCATGCTGCCTCCGCCCAAGGTCCGAGGAGGAAAAGATGCCCACACCGCTACCCTTCGGCTGTGTTCCCTTTCTGTCGGCCTCCTGGGAGGCCCTCGTCGCCACCGCTGGATTCGCTTCGAAATTCTGGCCAGAACGCACCCTGGGAGAGGTCCTTAGAGTAGCGGTATCAGTACTTTTTGTTTCCTCACAAGGGGGGCCTTGACAAGAGTATTCCGTGACGCGCCCCGTTTGGATTCCTTCCAGCACATCTTCTCCCAGCGCATGTGATCTTCCACGCCGCTTCAAGGTGGCACTGCAAGCTGTATTCCGTGACACTGCCAGTCCGGATCACTTCAAGCACAGTCAACAGGCTTACGCCAGTCCGCCGAACCCCAGGAGAGGGATGAAGTCCATGGGTGAGGCTTTCTGGGGCCTCTTGGGGACCCTCTGGCGGTCTTTTTCGGGCCACTCGCGGGCCTCTTTCGGGCCTTGTGGGGGCCTCTTCGGGCCTCGTGGTGGTTTCTTGTGCGCCTGCTGGCGGTCTAGGGGGTCCTGTTGGGGCGGAGGGCTCGGAATATCAGTTCGAGTTACCTCTCTTGGGCCCTTCTCGGGGTCCTATTGGGGCTCCCTTGGGCCATCTTCGGCGCCTCGTAGGACCCTCTTCGGCCGTCTTGGGGCTCTCTTGGGGGCTTCGTGAGCCATCCTGGAGTGATCTTGGGGGCCTCTTCAGCCGTCTTTCAAAATATCCGTGCTCCTCTGGATTCTGACGATTTCTGCCTCTTGGGGCCCTCCCGGCGTCGTCCAGGAGTCCTCTTGGGGGCGTCTCTGGGGCCTTTGGGGGCAGTCCTGAGGCTGTCGTGGTCGTCTTGGAGGCCTCCTCGGCGTGTTGGAGCCCAGCTTTGAGCCGGCTGAGATAGCACACTGGGCCTCCCGGAGGCCCAGTGAGTGTAGGCTCCAGAGGCCCCAGGGGTGCGTTGACGAGATCCCCCCCCCCCCCGAGCCCCCCCCCCTCTCCCAGGCTCCCTCCCCGGGCCCCCCCTTCTAATTCAGTGGAGCGGGAAAGGGGGATGGGGGACAGCCAATCATCTCAGATGCCTCCTTTCTTGTCTCTATCTGTCTGTCTGTCTGTCTCTCTCTTTCTCTTTCTCTCTTTCTCTCTGCCTCTCCGCCTCTCTGCTTCTCTCTCTCTCTCTCTTTCTCGGCCTCTCTCTCTCTCTCTCTTTTTTTTTTTTCTCTCTCTCTCTCTCTCTCTTCTCTTGTCTTGTACCTCTCTCGTACCTGGCTCCGACCTCGCCGCCCCTGGGGGGAGCTGCGATCTGCGAAACTATCGCCATTTTCGAGGGTGTCTGGGGAGCCCATCATAGCTGGTGGGGCCCTGCGCAGATTCAGGTCAGACCTCGCCAGCCCTGGTGGGCTGCGATCTGCGAAACTGTCGCCACCTTCGAGGGCTTCTGGGAAGGTGGGGCCAGCACAGTGGGGTCATACCCAGACTCGGATTCGACCTCGCCACCCCTGGTGGGCTGCGATCTGCGAAACCGTCGCCACTTTCGAGGGCTGCTGGGGGGGCCAGCACAGAGGGGGCCCTACCCAGATTCAGGTCTGACCTCGCCACCCCTGGTGGGTTGTGATGCCCTGCGCAGATTCAGAGTCGACCTCGCCATCCGTGGGGGGGGGCTGCGAACTGCGAAGCTATCGCCACTTTCGACGGCTCGGGGGGGGGCCCAGCAGAGTGGGGGGCCATACGCAGATTTTTGAAGATCTCTTTGCATTTTTTTCTTAGGTTTTGGTGGTGATTTATTCGATTTATTATCCATTGATTTTTCTTCAGTTTTCATTGATTTAATATTATTATCATCCCATTTCACAGATCCTTGTAACATGATGGAGCCATTTCAAGGAAAAATCGTAGAAATGTTGCAATGAATTTTGCAAATTCGGGTGCCAGCGATGATGCGCCTCCGCCCCTCCTGGCCGAGCCCGCCCTGGGCGCCCGAGGCTCCCGTGCGCCGCGCGCTCCCGGCCCACGAGCCGGCAGGCCCGCGGGGGGCTGCGGACCGCTCCCGGGGCCCCGGGAGGGGCCGGTCCAAGGCACAAGTGGAGGCGTGCAGTTTCGGCGTCCTCGTCGAGGCCTTGGTGGGCCCTGGAAACGACAGGGCCGTTTTTTTACCGGTTCCGTTTTGCCGTTTTTTTGCTGGTTCCGACGCCGTTTTTTTACCGTTTCCGTCGGCGATTTTTGACCGGTTCCGGCTCCGGGTCCAATCCTGGAGCCGTTTTTTTGACGTTTCCAGTCGCCGTTTTTTTGCCGTTTCCATTTTCAAGGGACACTTTTTCGGAAACGGTGAAAAAACGGCCCTGCCGTTTCCGGGGCCCACAAAGGTCGAGGCCCTGGGTGTGGGGCCGCGGGCATCAGGCTGGTGCTGCGCTGTCGTGTGGTGGGGGAGAGGCGATGTGTAGTGGCAGTGCGTGTCCTGTCGCTGTGCCGGCTGAGACGCGATGACGTATGAGGGGAGCTGCATTTCATGGAAGACAAAAGCATGTACCTTCCGCCTATCTCGCCACAAGTGGGGAAGATCTTACCCCCTGGGGGAACACTTAGTGTCGACGATATCTCGAGAAGGTGTCCAAGCTGATAGTTCCCCCAGAAGGAGGACCAGCTCGCCCAAGGGAGGAGGATGGAGGAGGAGGGGGAGGAGGAGGAGGTGGAGGAGGAGGTGGAGGAGGAGGAGCAGGGGGAGGAGCAGGAGGAGGAGGAGGAGGAGGAGGAGGAGGAGGAAGAGGAGGAGGAGGAGGAGGAGGGGGAAGAGGAGGAGGAGGAGGAGGAAGAGGAGGAGGAGGAGCAGCAGCATCACAAGTTGCTCGTCTTATCTTCAGGGTGATGGCCCCTGTGAACGGTTGTTTGTGGGCGAAAGTTTTCTGAAGCTTCAGGATGGAGTGGGGAGAGAAAGCGTAGAGGGACGACGATAACGTGGGAGAGGATAGATGAATGGAGGGAGGGAGGAGGGATGAGGAGGAGGATGAGGAGGGTAAAGAGGAGGAGGAGGACAAGGATGTAAATGATGCAGATGCTGATTATGATGATGCTGCTGCTGCTGATGATGATGATGCTGCGGACGATGATGATACTGATAATGAGGATCATGCTGAGATGACGGTGGTGATGATGGTGCTGCGGATGATGATGATGACGGTGCTGATGATGATGCTGATGATGATGGTGGTTGTGATGATGATGTTGATGATGATGCTGATGATGACGATGGTGTTTTTGATGGTACTGATGCTGATGATGCTGATGATGATAATCATGCTGCTAAGACTGATGCTGATGATGACGATGCTGCGCACGATGATGATACTGATAATGAGGATCATGCTGCTGACGATGACGATGATGATGGTGATGCTGATGATCATGATGATGATGATGTTGATGATGATGATGATGATGATGATGATGATGATGACGGTGGTGGTGATGATGCTGCGGATGATGATGACGGTGCTGATGATGCTGATGATGATGAGGGTGGTGATGATGATATCGATGATGCTGATGATGATGATGATGCTGATCACGATGATAGAGATTTTGATGGTACTGATGCTGATGATGCGGATGATGACGATGCTGATGCTGGTCAATCTAAGGATGGCGTTTTTTTATGGGAATGATGTTGCTGATGACGATGATGATGATGATGATGACGATGACGATGACGATGATGATGATGATGACGACGATGATGATGCTGATGATGATGATGATTCTGCTGCTGCTGCTGCTGCTGCTGCTGATGATGATGATGATGATGATGATGATGATGATGATGATGATGATGATGATGATGATGATGGCGTTGATGATGCTGATGTTGATGTCGATGATGCTGATGCTGATTATGCTGCTGATGACGCGGATGATGGTGATGATGAGATTGAGGTTGATCATGTTGATGATGCTGATTCTGCTGCTCTTGATGATGATGCTGATGCTGATGATGGTGATGCGGGTGACAATGATGATGATGGTGGTGCTGATGCTTCTGATGTTGATGCTGATGATGGTGATGCTGCTGATGCTGCTGATGTTGATGCTGAGGATGTCGATTCTGCTGACGGTGATGAGGATGAAGATGCGGAACATGATGATGGTGATGCTGATGCTGCTGATGCTGATGTTGATGATGATTATGAAGGTGAGGCTGGTGCTGACCGTGCTGACGATGATGATGGTGACGGTGATGCTTGAGATGATGGTGATGATCGTGATGCTGCTGATGATGATGATGATGATGATACTGCTGACGATGCTGATGATGCGGATGACGCTGATGATACTGATGCGGATGATGCTGCGGCTGACGATGACGATGCTGATGATGGTGGTGATGATGATGCTGATGATGATGATGATGATGATGATGATGATGATGGGCGATGGTGCTGATGATGCTGATGATGATGAGGCTGATGCTGATGCTGATGCTGACGATGAGGCTGGTGCTGATGCTGATGATGCTGATGCTGATGATGCTGCTGCTGATGATGATGATGATGATACCGATGATGAGGATGTTGCTGATGCTGCTGATGAGGATGCTGCTGATGATGATGATTCTGATGCTGATGATGAGGCGGGCGATGATTACGATGATGAGGTTACTGATGATGCTGATGCTGATGATGATGCTGATGACGATGCTGATGCTGCTGATGATGATGCTGCTGATGCTGATGGTGCTGATAATGTTAATGACGACGACGATGACGATGCTGATGATGCCGTTGCTGCTGCTGATGATGATGATGATGATGCTGGTGATGCTGATGATGATGCTGATAGTGACGATACTGACGATGATGATGCTGATGATGATGCTGATGCTGATGTTGATGATGATTATGAAGGTGAGGCTGGTGCTGACCGTGCTGACGATGATGATGGTGACGGTGATGCTTGAGATGCTGGTGATGATCGTGATGCTGCTGATGCTGATACTGCTGACAATGCTGATGATACGGATGACGCTGATGATACTGATGCGGATGATGCTGCGGCTGACGATGACGATGCTGATGATGGTGGTGATGATGATGATGCTGATGATGATGATGATGATGATGATGATGGGCGATGGTGCTGATGATGCTGATGCTGATGAGGCTGATGCTGATGCTGATGCTGACGATGAGGCTGGTGCTGATGCTGATGATGCTGATGCTGATGATGCTGCTGATGATGATGATGATACCGATGATGAGGATGTTGCTGATGCTGCTGATGAGGATGCTGCTGATGATGATGATGCTGATGCTGATGATGAGGCGGGCGATGATTACGATGATGAGGTTGCTGATGATGCTGATGCTGATGATGATGCTGATGACGATGATGATGCTGCTGATGATGATGCTGCTGATGCTGATGGTGCTGATAATGATAATGACGACGATGACGATGCCGCTGATGATGATGCTGGTGATGCTGATGATGATGCTGATGGTGACGATACTGACGATGATGATGCTGATGCTGATGCTGTTGATGATGATGATGATGATGATGATGATGACGATGCTGATGATGATGATGATGCTGATGATGATGATGATGATGACGCTGACGATGATGATGGTGATGCTGATGGTGATGGTGATGATGATGCTGCTGCTGCTGCCGATGATGTTGATGCTGATGATGATGATGATGATGATGATGATGATGATGATGATGATGATGCTGCTGATGATGATGATGATGATGAGGATGATGAGGATTCTTATTAGTATTGTTACCATTGTTATTCTGATGTTGTGGAGGGGGAGGAGGAGGAGAAGGAGGAGAAGGAGGAGGAGGAGTAGGGGAGGAGGAGGAGGAGGATGAGGACGATGAGGAGGAGGAGGAGGAGCAAAGGGAACAATAACAGGACCAGGAAGAGGAGAAGGAGGAGGATGAGGATGAGGAGAGGAGGAGGAGGAGGGAGGAGGAGGAGGGAGGAGGAGGAGGAATAGGAGGAGAACGAGGAAAAGAAACAGGAACAGGAACAGGATGAGGAGGATGAGGGGGATGAGGAGGGGCAGGAGGAGGAGGAGGAGGAGGAGGAGGAGGTGGAGGAGGAGGAGGAGGAGGAGGAGGAGGAGGAGGAGGAGGAGTAGGAGGAGGAGCAGCAACGGTCATGTTCAGAACAGCTCGAACAGGGGCTCAACAAACGGAAGGCTGGGCCAAAGGTTGCCCTGATCTTGTTCGGGGGGGCGATGTCGGGGAAGACATGTGTGACAGGGGTGATCGGAGAGAGGAAATCTGGGAGACTACCCCTAGCCATCAGCCGCCCTGAAGGGCGGATGGGGTCGTTGTCGACGTCGCCGCCGCTGCCGCGTCCGCGCCCGCTATCGCTGTCGCCGTCGCGGTCGCCGTCGCCGTCGCTGTCGCGTTCGCCGCCGCTGCTGCTGCCGCCGCCGCCGCCGCCGTCGTCGTCGTCGTCGTCGTCGTCGTCGTCGTCGTCGTCGTCGTCGTCGCCGTCGTCGCCGTCGCTTTCGCCGTCGCCGCCGCCGCCGTTGCCGCCCTCGTCGTTCTCATCCCTTGGAAGAGCTCTTGCAGATGCTCGTCGTCGACGTCGTCGCCAGCGCCGTGTTCGCGTCCGCCGCCGCCCTTTCAGGAGCTCTCGCTCGCGGAGCTGAACTACCTGCTCTTCTCCTGCGAGGCGGAGGAGCTGGACCGCTCCGACGGGCAGCGCGGAGCCTACAACGCCTCCAGGGGGGGGGACTGAAGACTGCAGGGGAGGGGGTTCGGTTACACGCAAGGGTCACCCTCCGCTGGAGTGGCCCTCGGCGCGCGGCTGCCGAGGGGCGGGTGCCGAGACCGCCCCGGGCTCCTCGGGGGGGCCTGCCGAGGCCAGCTGGGACTGCTCAGAGGGCCTGCTGCGGCCAGCCTGGACTCACTTGGGTGGCTGCCTGCGCGCAGCCCGAAAAGCCTTCCCATTCGGGGGGGGGTCAAGCGCAAGCATGCACGCTGCCACTGCCGCATCGCGTGCCGCGGCTCGGAGCCGCGCCCCAAGGGTCAATCTTGCCTGGGGTCACCCCTGCGTGCAGCCGAATGGGGGCGCGGCGTGGACTCGTCGAGCGAGCCGTGGGCTCGGGGCGGCGTCGGAGTGGCCAGGCAGGCTGCCTGGGGTGGCTCTTCCTTGCCTGCGGGCGACTGCGGGGGGAGCCTGGGGTATCCTCGTGTGCAGGGGTCCTCGGAGGTCTTCACCCTTATTTGGGGTGCATCTTCGGGAGTCTCCGCAAGACACGGAGGGCTTCTCCATAGTTGTGCGGCCCACGCGCTTGTTTTGTGTTGCCGTCCAGCCTGCTTGTGAGAATGACCGGCCCGTTCCTCTCGTCCCCCCTCTCTGTCTGTTTCATTCTCCTTACCTCTCTCTCTCTCTCGCTGCTGTATCCGTGGGCCGTCTAGCGTCTTTTGCCGCGGGCGACCCATCTGGCTGCAGCTCCACGCGGAAAAACTTGTGTGTGTGTGTGTGTGTGTAGTAACGCTGGGAAGAGCCCAGACCTCCGACGCCCTCCTCTGGGAGCCGCCGACACCCCTGGAACTCTCGACCCCCTCGCGAGGGACCGTGTTGGATCCGTCCGGATTCGTTTTCGGACGGTCCTGTGGGGCACGAGGCTACAGTCAAGATGCTGACATAAGGACCGCTCTGGGTTCAGGAGGGACTCGAGCTTGCGGGCCGTTCCTGAGATTTTTGCGTCGTGGAACTGGCCTGTGGCCTGGGCCCGCCCTCCGTAGCCAGAGTCATTCCTTGCTCTGCGCTCCTTCGTAGCGCGATGGCTGTAGCCTCCAGATGAAAACGGTGCAAACCTCCGGCGCGATTTTAGCGAGTCGCCAGGAGGTCTGGGTTGGGTGTCGCGGGTACCATCAGAATCAAGCCACAGACATGACAAAGGGGAAGGAGGGGGAGGAGTGGGGGGACCAACGATGTGCGAATGCTTCCAGCAATGTGCGAATGCTTTCAGCAATGCCTGGTAGGTATACGCACGCGCGGGCTCCTCCTTTTCACGCGCTTGTGTGGGACAACAAAGGCAGTCATCGGTGCCTGGACGTGGAAGGAAAAAGGTCTGGGTTGGGTGTCGAAAGTTGACCCCCCAGATCCGTCCAGGGGTGCGCTCTGGCCAGAATCTGGAGGCAGAGTCAGCCAGGCAGCCGTGTTCCAAGGCCGTCCCAGGAGGCCCAACGGAAAAGCATGGCAAGTACCCGAACACTGCGATCCTCACAGCTCAAGCCGACCTCGACGCCCTTCCTGCTGCGGTCGCGGCGCGCACAGGACAAAAGGCAGTGTGGCCTTCTCAGAAGCCCTCCCACCTTCTTGGAAGCTTCCTGATAAGGCCCCGAGGAAGAGGAGGAGGAGGAAGAGGAGGAGGAGGAGGAGGGGGAGGAGGAGGGGGAGGAGGAGGAGGAGGAGGAGAAGGGGAGGAAGGAGCAGGAGGAGGAGGAGGAGGAGGAGGAGGAGGAGGAGGAGGAGGAGGAGGAGGAGGAGGGGAGGAAGGTAGGAGGAGGAGTCAGGCCCCGGCTGGAGGCCCCTCACGCTGGGGGGGGTGGGCGCGTCGCTTGGGGGCCGCGCAGACCTGCTCCCCCCCCCCCCTGCCGCCCCCTGTACCTTCCCTCGCCTGTGGCCCTTCCCCCTTCCCCTCCCCTTGTCTCCCTCCCCCGCCCTTGCCCCTGCCCCCTGCCCCCTTGCCGGGCCTTCCTCCCCCTCTCCCCTGAGCGCGGGCCTGGTCCGCCGCCCTGCTCCAGGCCTCTGCCGGCCCCGCCTTGCCGGCCCCTGCGCGTGGCCCGGCCTTGGGCCCGCCCGGCCCCCTGCCGCCGACGCCCCGCCCGCCCCCGCCCGCCCTGTCGGCCCTCCCGGTCCTTGTCCGCGGTCGGTCCAGGCCCGAACGTTCTGGGCAGGCGGCAGCACGTCTGCTCCCCCGCTTTGGCACGAGCGCCTGCCGCGCAGCGGCCCGCCCCCAGCGGGGCGGCCGGAGGCGGCCCCCGAGCGGCACTCGCCCAGCCGTGCCCGCCGTGCGCTCGGGGCCGCCGGGGGGGGGGCCCCTCCCCAGGAGCTGGCGGGCGGGGGCCTCCCGCTTGCCCCCTGGCCGTGGGGAGGGCGCTGCCGTGAATGGGGCGCTATAGGTGGCCCAGCCGCGTTGCTCCAAGTAGCCTGTGCCCGGCGGCCTGGCCGGGCGAGCGCTCCGACAGAGGAGCGTCCCACGCTTGCGGGAGGAAGGGGGGGGAGGAGGAGGAGGAGGAGGAGGAGGAGGAGGAGGAGGAGGAGGAGGAGGAGGAGGAGGAGGAGGAGGAGGAGGAGGAGGAGGAGGAGGTGGAGGAGGAGGAGGTGGAAGGAGGAGGAGGAGGAGGTGGAGGAAGAGAACAGTGGAAACCCTATTTTCGTTTACGATTGGAATCACACCTCTCCAAGACTCCCTTCTTAACTGCGGGGCAGCGGCAAGACTTCGAGTTCGCAGGGGGAACTCGATTTTGCCAAAACTCTCGATGCAATAGACGCCCGTCCTGGATTTGGACGGTCCCGTTTTCGTAGGATGTCTGCAGCAGGATCTCGCGTCAAATTTCTGATTGGGCCTCGTCATTTTCCTGGTGGCCTTTTCACGCCAACCCGAGTCCCCCGAACCCGAGTCTTACGTCTCCCCCATCATCGGCCCCTGCATGAAACAACCGTATGTAAATCCTGACTCGTGCCAAAACAGAAGTCTCAGGCTTTAAACGCCGCGAATCACCGTTACTATTGCGTCTTGATGATCCTGAACCGTGCCAAAGCACAGTTCTTGTGGCTTCAACACCGCGAATGAATGTAAGTGTCGCGATCTGAGAGCCCATAATCGTTCCAACACATCATGTCTGGAACATTAACCACGGGATCCCGCGAAACTCTTGCATTGTTGAGCGAATCTGCGCGGTGCTCAAGCGATAACCGCATTTTGAAAACGACCCGCCTTCAATCCGTGAAGCTCTTGCAAATTTCAAGACGAATGTGCGCGTCGCTAAAGCGAGAGCCACATTGCGAATTCGACCCGGCCTCAATCCGTGAAGTTCTTGCAAAGCTTGAACATGAGCGTGCGCGGCGCCAGTGACAGAGCCACATGTTGAATATCACCCGCCCTGCATCCGAAATCTCCAGCAATTTTTTGAGACGGGTGTGCGTGGCGTTGAGGCGAGAGAGCCTTCCATATGTGAAAGTGCTGCGAACTTGCAGGCTTCAGGATCGTGAGTGGTAGAGAAGCCTGGGGGCGAAACGCCCGGCCCGCCCTTCCGACTGGCCTAGGGGAGTGCCAGGTGTGAGTTCGCAAGGAGGAGGAAGCGGATGACCAGTGCAAGCCCAAGTCTCATCTACGATATTGCCATAGACCTTCAAATATCCCTTTCCATGTGCCTCTACAGTGATATTCATTCTCAGTGAAGGAAACTCCTCGTTGGAAGATGACCGTGAACAAATCTTGAACTGTGCCACAACACCATTCCTGGGATTTCGACGCTCCGAATCACCTTGGCGATCCTGAATCGTGCCAGAACGCTTGTCCTGGAGTGCTAGCGCCACGAATCAACGTAAGTTTGGCGCCGTGACGGTTCGACATCGCGCCATAGCACCACTTCCGGGACGTTAGCTATGATAATCCTTGACACTGCTGCAAGCTTTGAAATCGAAGGTACGCTGCGTTCAGGCGAGATCATTTTTTTTGGAAGCGACCCCCCTTCAATCAGTGAAACTCGTGTTGTGAATGTTTGAAACGAATGCGCAGACGCGAGGTCCACATTTTGAAAACGACCCGCATCCATCCGCGAATCTGTGGCATTTTAAATGACGAGCGCGCGCACCGCCAAGGCGAGAGGCACATTCAAAAATGCCCCGCCCTCCATCCGTGAAGCTCGAGGCTAATTTTTGAGCTGGATGTGCGCGGCGCCAAGGCGGGAACCATGTTTTTAAAAACGACCCGCCCTCAATCCGCGAAGCTCTTGCAATTTTTGCAAGTCGGATGTGCGCGGCGCTAAGGCGAGACGAACGACTGAAAACGACCTGTCTTCTGCCCATGAAGCTTTAGCATTTTTGTACGACTGCACGCGGCGCTAAGGTGATATCCGCACGTTGAAAACGACGGGACTTCATCCGTGAGCCTGTTGCAAATTCTGAGTTCCAGGATCACACGTGGCAAAGAAGTCTCGGGCGAAACGCCCGACCCGCCCTTTCGACTTGCCTCGGGGTGCGACAGGGAGGAGTTGTTCGTAGGAAGAAGGAGAACGAGAGGAGCGGGTCGGACGAAAAGGGGGGCAATTCGGAAGGGGGTCTTGCAAAATTGCTGCGTGCAGCTGGTCTTGGCCTCGCCGCGGGGCACCCAGCGTCGATGCGTTGGCGCCTCCGGCCTGGCGCCGGGGGGCGGCTAGGAACCAGCGTAAGGATGGGCACCCTTCCCAAGGGTACCCTTGCATCCTCGCCTCCTCGGTCCATCCTTGGCCACGTTCGTTGGCCGCGCCGCGCTCGAGAAGCTTCGAGATGGGCGTCCAAGGCCCTTGCATCCTTCTCGAGCATCCTTGTGATACGGGGCGGCTGTAGAATCCTCTAGCGAAACGCCAGCAGGGAACAATGAACATATCCGCTGTCGGGTCTGTGGCGACGTCTACCTGGCCAGGCTTGGCTGGGGTCGGCACCGGGTCGTCGATGGAAGCGGTCATCGCTCCCATGAGGGGAAGCGGACTGGATGCTCAGTCGAGTTGCAGCGGCCGTTCATCGATTGTCACCAGCACTGTCATCGGTCCGATGACACCCAGTAGAATTCTTAAGAAACAAACATCAACTTTAACGGACTCCAGATTTCCATTGAAAAAAAGAAGAATTTTGACTGGATCCTGGGCGTTTTCTTGGAGCATCTCTTTTGTCGTAGCATGTTCGTAAGTATGTCGACCTGGACTACTGTGAGAGAACGATTTGAGTGAATATTTTCTTAGCCTACTACATCCTTTCAGCTGTAAACAGGGAGTCGCTCCACATGTTAGGCGTTTTTCTTCCAAGGTGTCGAGCCGCATTTGAGGCCGAGGCCATCTCATCAGGGACCGCATCGAGATGGCTACATCATACAGTTCCCTCTCGGAGCAGCAGTAGAACCGGCAGCCCAGGGGCGTAGGCCGTATGAGAGGAAGAAGGAAACAATTCCACGAGAAAAAGAATTTTCAGAACAATACGATTACTGACCATATTAATGATATTATTACTCGTGCCACTCATCATTACAATAACTACAATCATCACAGCGATCATACTCACTATCAGTATAATCACACATCATACTTTAGTAATGCTGCTACTACTACTACTACTACTACTACTACTACTACTACTACTACAACAAGTGCTACTACTGCTACTACCACTACTAATACTACCAGTGCTACTAGTACTAGTCGTAGTACTACTACTCCTACTACTACTACTCCTACCACTACTACTGCTACTACTAGTAGTAGTAGTAGTAGTAGTACTACTACTACTACTACCACTACTACAATTACTACTACTACTCGTACTACTACTATCACTACTAATACTACTAGTACTAGTACTAGTACTAGTACTTCTACTACTACTACTACTACTACTACTGCTGCTATTGTTACAACGACCACCACCACCACTACTACGACTACTACTACTACTACTACCACTACTACTACTACTACTACTACTACTACTACTACTACTACTACTGCTATTGGTACTACGAATTCGATGTATTTTAAGAAAAATATGCAGGGGTACATTCGAAGAAAAAACGCATAGACATAAACAGTCATTGGTCCGCGCGGATTTCTTGGATCCGCGCTGGGCCCCCTTGGCTGAACCTCTGGCGCCGCCCCTGGCGCGCTCCGCGCGCCAGGGAGGGGGCTCTAGCGCGGATCCGAGAAATCCGCGCGGACCGCCGAAAGTTTATGTTATGATTTTTTTCGTTCCTCTATGTCTGGAACAAGTTCTGGGACACGTGAGACTCGAGTACGCCGGAACCTGTGTTTTCGGAGGCTTTTCGACAAGCGAGTCTTGGATATTGACGTTCTAAGGTTCGGTGGACGTCTTCAGCGGGAGCTCGCGTCAGAGTTCAGATTGGGCCATCGTAATTTTTATGATGGTCCCGTCAGGCCAACCCGAGTGCCCCGAACCCGAGTCTGATGTCTCCCCGACGAATGCCCGGCTGGCTGGGGGCTGCTACGAGGGCGGGGAGGGAAGGAGGAGGAGGAGGAGGAGGAGGAGGAGGAGGAGGAGGAGGAGGAGAGGAGGAGGAGGAGGAGGAGGGGAGGAGAGAGGGAGCAGCAGGAGGAGGAGGAGGAGGAGGAGGAGGAGGAGGAGAGGAGGAGGAGGAGGCGCCGGCCCCGTGCTTCAGGGCCACCTCAGGGCGCGCTCAGCCTCGGGGGCCCCTCGACTCTCGCAGGGTCGGCTTGGGCGGCGCGGCGCGGCGCGCCGCCGTCCGCCGCCCCTGCTCGTGGAAGCCCCCGGCTGCGGAGGTCGACGGCCACGGGCCCTTCATGTACTGCGGCCTGATGGGCGTCCGCGCCTCGGGCCGCGGCGTTGCGGGGAGGAGGAGGAGGAGGAGGAGGAGGAGGAGGAGGAGGAGGAGGAGGAGGAGGAGGAGGAGGAGAGGAAGGAGGAGGAGGAGGAGGAGGAGGAGGAGGAGGTGGAGGACGAGGAGGAGGAGGAGGAGGCGGAGGAGGAAGAGGAGGCGCCCCAGGTCCTGTCGTACGTGCCTGCTGTTGTTCCTCCCGTAGGGGCAGGAGCTATCTGGATGGAGGGGGAGGTCCCAGCGGCACGAGGAGGAGGGCAGCGGGGGGAAGTCCCAGGTCTGCGCGGCCCTCGACGAGTGCCGCCGCTCCATGACGGACGGCCTCCGCCGCCGGCGCCAGCTGCCTGTCAGGGGTCTCTTCTCCCTGTGGACTGAGGCTACAAGATGGTGATGATCGCCAGTGCTCCTCCTCCTCCTCGTAACCCCTCTACTTTTGACCCTCCTTCCCTTTCCGTGCCCGTCCCGTCCTCCTTCCCTTGCTGTTGCTGCTGCTGCTCCTCCTCCCCTTCTCCTCTTCCTCTTCCTCTTCCTCTTCCTCTTCCTCTTCCTTCTTCATCTCCTCCTCCTCCTCCTCCTTCCCATCCTTTTCTCATTCCCCTCCTTTGCTTATTTTCCTCCCTACCTCCTCATTATTTCCTTTATCGTCCTGGTTTTTCTCCCCTCTTCCGCTTCCAATCCTGTTCTCTTCCTTCCTCTCTTCATCCGTTTCATCCTCCGCCTCTGCCCTTTACTTTCCCTTCGCTCCTCCTTAGCCTTTTCCTCATCCTCTCTTTATCTCCCTCTCACTGCTCCCCTTGTCCGAGGCCCAGGTAGAGTGATTCCAAGCAGGCAGGGGTTCCGAGAACACATCGTGTGACGCGGCCATGTTTTCATCTACTCTGACAGGTTCCTCCTTGCTGCTCCTCCATCGCCTGCTGCTCTTGGATGTGCGAGGTGTCCTCGTTTTGAAGGGTGATGAGGGGGCGGGGGAGAGGGAGCAAGAGGAGGATGCGTGGGTGAGAAGAAAGATAAGGATACTGGGAGGATTCAGATGAGAAGACTTGGAGAGAGAGGGAGAGAGAGAGAGAGAGAGAGAGAGAGAGAAAGAGAGAGAGAGAGAGAGAGTGAGAGAGAGGGTGAAGACGAAGCGGGGGGAGAAGCAGACAACATGCGAATCCAGGGGTGAAAGACATTATGTACTCCGACCCCCCGACAAGCTTTCCACGAATACGACGGGCGATTACTTTGGAATCTGCGTTCGGGCCCACTGTAGACGTTATCGCTAAGGCATTGCTTATCCGGGCTCGCATTGACGATCTTTGAGTCGGCGCAGGGCTTCAAGTCTTTTGGAAGAACACAACGCCGACTATTTGCTCGAGGGATCAACATTTGAAGGGGGACGGGGAGACTGACACAAACAAGGCATCCATCCTGTATGTGCAGAGCGCGGCATGCTTGCCAATGACCTTTCCACACGCGCCTGTGACCAGCAATCTTCAGCGATTGCACCTACACGCGCACACACACACACACACACACGTACACGCATGTCCTGGAATATGGTGGAGGAGTCTTGCAAGATGGCAACGTGATTGTGTAAGGATGGCGCCATGCAGCGTGCGCGCCTGCGACGACGTCGACATCGGAGCAGTCAGGGGGAGTTGGGAAAAGCGCTGGGTAGCATGTTTGAGATAGTTGTTGACTTGCGTTGTTTGCAAGTGGGTCCGAACATGCAGGAGCCTTGACTAGCAGATATACGCCAAGTTTGTTCAGACGAATGAATGATTATCATCGGTTGCTTGCAGCTATGCACCTCGCGCTTCGAGACAACTTTATGCATTCGCAGGACGTGCTTGGCTCCCCAGTTCTAGGAAACGTCCGCGACGGAGACTGGCTGCTCGACTATCTGACAGCCCGGCTCCGCGACCGTTCGAATTGCTATCACGACAGTTTCGAGCTTTGTTTTGACGTGCGGATATTCTTTCACTGTGGATCACTTCATTGCTGTGACATCCGTGTCTGGATCTCGTCGATACATATGCTAAATCGATTTGAGGTGTGTGAGGGGGCGGGTGTGGGGGGCGAGGAGGGTGAGGGGGGGGGGGCGGTTGAGGAGGAGGATCAATGCTGCATGGACGGGTCGATGGATGGATGAGGATGATGATGATGATGATGATGATGATGATGATGATGATGATGATGATGATGATGATGATGATGATTATGACGATGATGCTGCTGCTGCTGATGATGATGATGATGATGGTGGTGATGATGATGATGAAGATGATGGTGCCGAGGAGGAGGAGGAGGAGGAGGAGAAGGACGCGTCGGACGAGGAGGATGTGGAGGAGGAGGAGGCGGAGGATGAGGAGGAGGGGGATGATGATGATGATGATGATGATGATGATGATGATGATGCTGATGATGATGATGATGATGATGATGATGATGATGATGATGGTGATGATGATGATGATCATGATGATGATGATGATGATGATGAGGAGGAGGATGATGATGATGATGATGATGATGGTGGTGATGATGATGAAGATGATGGTGCCGAGGAGGAGGAGGAGGAGGAGGAGGAGGAGGAGGAGGAGAAGGCGCTCTCCAGGGGTCCTCGGAGGCCCTGGGACGCTCCCGAATGCTGGAGGAGGTCACCTGAGGAAGCCAACCTCGATCCTCGAATCTCGACCTTTGAACTTCGAACCTCGATGCTTGATCCTCAAACCTCGGTTCTCGAACCTCAGCGCCTGGGCTTCTCCGCCTCCTAAACCCCTCCCAGGCCCCTCTCGCCAGATCCCTCCTCCTGGACTCCCGGGGGTCCTAGAGGTAGCCCTGCTTCTCTTCCTCCTCCTCGTCCTCCTCGTCCTCCTGCTCCTGCTGGTACTCTGCGCTCCTCCTCCTCCTTCCCCCCTTCTCCCCTCCCGCACTCCTCCTCGCTCCCTTCCCCTCTCTCCCTTTTCTCCTTCTCCTTCTCCTTCTCATCCTTTACTGGGGCCCCCCTGACCGGAAACCTCGAGCGGGGTCCTCACGGCCCAGGCTCGACGACATGCCCGCTCTGGCGGGGGTCAGGGACTGGATGATTCAGGCTGGGCGCGCCTCCGCCCTGGGCAGGGGGCCTCTCTCGTATACAGCGGAGGCCCATGCCAGGAAGCACCCTGCTTGCCTCCAGGGTGCCCTGGGTTTCTGGGGTTCCCATGGTTTTGCGATGGAAGGCGTGACGTTCCCACACCAAAAACCAATGGACGCCCAGGGGTCTCAGGGTTGGGTTTCTCGTGGAAGGTTTCTGGTGGTCGGGCCCCTACTGTATTTTGCGATCTTTTTCGTCTTGCTCCCGTCTTCCTCGTCTATCGTCATCGTCGTCGTCGTCGTCTGCCTTGCCACCGCGGCCGCCATCGTTGTCCGTTGTCGATCGTAGGTCGTCGATCGTCGCCGTCACGTCTTCGTCTTTGTCGTAATCGGCGCTGTTGTGGTCGTACTTCGGTGGCTGGCCTGATCACCCTCACGCTCGCAATGCCACGAATCAGGCGGACGCGAACATCGAGCAACACCAAGGAGGAGGAAGGGAGAGTACAGTCGGGGCCCTGAAGAAGGAACCCTTTTCGTTGGAGAGGGGCTCGGCGTTCCTTGATCGTTCTGCAGTTTGCCTTCAGTTTTCCTGAGGTTTTCCATGGGAAATCGAAGTTTAACTTATGAGAAAAAGGGGCCTCGTTCCTTATTTAGGGTTCCTTAGGTCAACGCCCCGACTGTAGGATGAAGAGGACGAGGCGGGATTCTTGTATGGTGACAAGGGATCGCGGTGCCGAGGAGCACAGCGCCAGGTGCCGACGTCGCACATGCGTTCGCAGCTCCGCTCGATGGGTCTCTTGCCGTTCCTGTGTCAGCGGCTGGTCTGTCTGTCGGGGCGGCTGCTCTGCACCGTCGGGCGGCCGTCGTTGCCACGCTCCTGCAAGTCCGGTTGGCAAGCGGGGCTGCGATCGAGGATTTGGTGGATGATGATGAGGGTCAGGAGGTGTATGAGGAGGGGGAGGGGGTGATGATGAGGAGGAGGATGAGGAGGATGAGGAGGATGAGGGGGAGGATGAGGAACGAGGGGAGGAGGAGGAGGAGGAAATGAGGAATGATGTTGTTGTTGCTGATGCTGATGCTGATGCTGATGCTGCTGCTGCTGCCGCTGGTGCTGATGATGATATGATGATGTGATGATGTCGTTGCTGATGATGCTGATGATGTCGATGCTGATCCTGATGATGATGCTGATGCTGATCATGATGCTGGTGATGATGATGCCGATGCTGATGCTGATGATGATGATGCTGACGCTGATGCTGATGCTGATGCTGACGACGACGACGACGACGACGATGATGATGATGATGATGATGATGATGATGATGATGATGATGAGGATGATGAGGATGATGAGGATGGTGGTGATGATGATGATGATGATGATGATGATGATATGATGATTGATGATGATGATGATGATGATGATGATGATGATGATGATGTGATGTGATGATGATGATGATGATGATGATGATGATGATGATGTGGTGGTGATGATGATGATGCTGATGCTCATGATGGTGATGATGAGGATCATGAGGAGGAGGAGGAGGAGGAGGAGGAGGAGGAGGAGGAGGAGGAGGAGGAGGAGGAGCCGAGGGCCACTTGCGTGATGCTCGCTCCCTGGAGGGCCGAGCACCTCCGCCGACGGGGCGCCTTCTTCAAGACGTGCGGGCACCTGCCACCAGCGCCCCGCCTCCCCCCCTGCGCTGCCCTCCCCTCCTTGCTCTCCCTCCTCTCTCCCTCTCTCCCTCCCCTCCTCCTCTCCCTCTCCCTCCTCTCCCTCCTCCTCTCCCTCTCCCTCTCCCTCCTCCCCCTCCCCTGCGCTGCCCTCCCCTCCTCCCTCCTCTCCCCCTCCCATTCACGGGCGGCGCGAACACGCCCACATCCGTGCCCTCGCGCGTTTTTTTTTGACTCCGAGGCCCGATCCCATGGGGACGTCCACGGCGTCGCGGGCGAGGAGCCCGGAACCGCGAGGCCGTGGGTACGGATCTGTCTCCCGCCTTCGGCCCCTCCTCGGGCGTGCCTATGCTGAGGGCCAGTCGTTCGGTAGCAAATCAGGGGAGCCTGGTGTACGCTCCTGATTCTTAGGCTTACGCCACACCGCCGACCCCTTGTTTATGCCAATCTGGGGGTAGTAGAAGCTGCGAAGGGGTGAAAAGCGAGTTTTGGAGCCACTTGGGGGCCGTTTCGGAGCCTCTGGGGTGCTTCTTGGGGGTTCCTTGGGGCGTCTGGGCGGCCTCGTGAGGGCCTCTGGGGGCCTCTTGGGGCACTCTTGGGGCCCCCTGGGGCTCCTGGGGGCAGAAAGCTAGAGTTTCAACATGTTTGGTCGCCCTCTTGGGCCCCTCTTGGTGCCGTCTTGGAGCCCTCTTGGGCCGTCTTGGGGACCTCTTGGGCCGTGTTGGGGCCGTCTTGGGCCGTCTGGAGGCCGTCTTGGGGGCCTCTTGGGCCATCTTGGGGCTGTCTTGGGGGCCTCTTTGGCCGTCTTGGAGCGTCGGGAAGCCGAAAAGGCGGAAAAGCAAAAAACATAGAAAAACACTATGGAAAATCAACAATTTTAGACTCTTCCTCTTGGGAGGCTTGTTTGGGACCTCGGGGGCCGTCTTGGAGACCTCTTGGCCCGTCTTGGGGCCATCTTGGGCGTCTTGGAGCGGTCGTTTGGCGTCTCGGGGCCTTCGTGGGCCGTCTTGGAGGCCTCTTGGGGGCTTCTTGGCCCGTCTTGAGGCCCTCTTGGGCCCGGAAAAGCCCCGTGAACCGCTCGTCCCGGCCGTGCTGCGCTCGTGCCGGACCCCCCCCCCCCTCCAAATCGACCGGACCGGGCTCCCGGGGGAGGGGTTTGGGGAGGGGGAAGCATCTCACACGCCGATGATCCCCAAGGGGTCGGCGGATTCCGTCTTCAGCGTCGGTTCGCGTCGATTCGCATCTCGGAGTCGATGAAGTAGCGCGGACTGAGCGCCGGTTAGCATCGATTAGCGTCGATGTAGCGTTGAGTTGCGTCGACTAGCGTCGATTCGGAAGAGCCGACAGGGTATGGGAGGCTCACTTGAGTTGCCACCGAAGATGGCGGCAATTATCTTACTGATGGCAACAACTCTTGCCCTCATTGTAGTTTTCCTCCCTCGGGTGAGATAGATCGCTGCCGCCGTACCGAGGGGATTGTCCTTCTTTGGTTTTCAGCGAGGGAGAGAGTTTTGTTTATGTGTTTGGTTATTAGTATTCTTATTATCATTTGTTCCGTTTATTTGTTTGTTTGTTTCCGCATCGTTCCTTCGCCTTACAGTCGGGGCGCCGAAGAAGGAGCCTGTTTCGCTTGGGAGGGGCCCCTGTGCTCCTTGGTTGGTCTACAGCTTGCCCCAGGGTGTCCTTGGGTTTTCGATCGGACATCGAGCTTCAACTCATGGAAAATGGGCCTCGCTTCTTATTTGTCAACGCTTGAATCGGGCGTGTCCCTCTACAGGATGAGTATCTAAAGATAGTAGATCCATAGCCTGGGGGCGACTTTCCGATTCTTTGTATCTGTTTTTGATTTTTGTTTCAAATATTTTCGTTTCGTTCAAAATCCGCCTGTAAGAGGACATGCCCGACCTAAGTCAACGCCCCGACTGTGCGTCCCCCCTGGCGCCCCTGAAGGTAAAGGTGCTGGTCAGCAGCTTCCCCCGCCACCTGGTGCCGTTCTGCTTCGACCTGGTCGTCACGGACCGCGCCTCCCGCGCCTCCCAGAGCGTCTCGGTGCCTCCCGCCCCCTCCTCCTCGTTCTCCTCATCCTCCTCCTCTCCTCCTCCCTCCTCCTCCTCCTCCTCCTCCTCCTCCTCCTCCTCCTCCTCCTCCTCCTCCTCCTTCTCCCCACCTACAACATACCGTGACTACCAGTATTCTCTACTCCACAGACATTTCGAGGGGGAACAGTGAGATACTACAACAGGGTATCAGAGGACAGATGCGACAATGCATGGGGCAACTATAGGCCAGATCGAGGTGAAAGAGAAGTGAGCCGAGCGGGAGAGGAGATACTATAACATAACCAGTAGGGTAACCAGGCCCCCCAGCAACAGTTTGGGAACACGGGCCTCCCGACCCTCCCCGCCTCCTCCTTTTGGAGTTGCCGTGTCGTCGCCTCCTCCCCTTTTGCTTGGGCGCACTGCTAAGCCCGCGCGTCCCCTCCCCTAGGGCACGCGGAAGGGCTAGCAGCTGCTCCCCCCGCGCTGACCCGCAGGGACTCTTAATCGTAAGGTAGCGAGCCTCCCTTAAGGGGCCACCTCGGAGCTCACTCCTTCAGCAAGGTGGTATGCCCCCTGCCGCACCTAGTGAGTATGCAGGGCCGTTGCGCAACCAATCGCAGGGGATTTTGTCAGAAGCGCGCAAGGCACCAGCGTAGGTGTTTTGACGTTGAACCCCCTTATGCGGATGTCCTGTCCTATTATCCTCCTCCTCCTCCTCCTCCTCCTCCTCTTCCTCTTCCCTCTCCTCCTCCTCCTCCTCTCCTCATCCTCCTCCTCTCCTCCTCCTCCTCCTCTCCTCCTCCTCCCCTCCTCCCCCTCCTCCCCCTCCTCCTCCTCCTCCCCTCTCCTCCTCCTCCTCCTCCTCCTCCTCCTCCCTTCCTCCTCCTCCTCCTCCTCCTCCTCCTCTCCTCCTCCTCCTGTCCTCCTCCCCCTTCTCCTCCTCCTCCTCCTCCTCCTCCTCTCCTCCTCTGCCTCTTCCTCCTCCGCCTCCTCCTCCTCCTCCTCGGCCTCTTCTTTTTGGGAACGCGCGCCAGGAGATGGCGCGCGACCCCGCCAGCGACGGGTATAAGACACGCGCAGCTTCCGCGCCGGAGCAAAAGCTTGCACAGCTCAGTGCAGGTATGCGTGAGCGCCACGTCTGCGAGTCTGTGCCCTGCCCCGCAGGGGCAGGCGACAGCAGCAGCGGCGGCAGGACGGCGGCAGCGGGGGCAGGAGATCCTACCTCTGCCGCCCTTCCGTCCTGCCTCCTCCCTTCTTGTCCGTGGCCGGCTCGGCCCAAACACCCCGCTGCAGCAGA